AGTACTTTATCGTCAATAATACAAAGAGCCCTAAACACCATAAATAACTGGTGTAGGGATAACAGTTTATCAGTTAATGCTGATAAAACTGTTATAATACCCTTTTCCAAAACGAGACGGTTGGACAAATTAGTCCAACCAAAACTTAATGGTAAAGAAGTACCGTTTTCCACGGAAGTTAAGTACTTGGATGTAACAATCGACCAAAAACTAACGTGGAACTCTCACCTTAGCAACGTATGCCATAAAGCAAAAATTTCTTTAGGTACGTGCAGTCGTTTGGTCGGGAACAACTGGGGCTTGCGTCCCAGTATGGTCTATGGCTGTACTGCAGCATAGTGAGGCCGATTCTCACCTACGCCTCTATTGTGTGGTGTAACAAGGCCAACCAAAAGACGACTGCGGACAGACTAAATAGTCTACAAAGGACTGCCTGCTTAATGGCAATTGGAGCTATGCGATCATCGCCTGGAGCGGCTCTTAATGCACTTCTATGCCTTAACGCCCCTTGATCTCTATCTAGACAAGGAGGCGAGGGCTAGTTTGTATAGGATTAACGCCCAGGGCAGTCTGAGCTTGCTCTCCTACAGATTGAGATCCATGCTCGACTCAATTAAGGAATCACCGGTCTTATGCATGATCTCAGATATCATGAAAATGTTAGCTATGATAAGACCTTACCACCGGACCTGATGGAGTGACCTGAAGGTGTATTTCAGTAACCACTGCTGGAATTCCTGGACGAGTAGAACTAGATATGTAGAATTTTGGCTCAGTTTTGTAGGTTATGACGATTCCTTACCTCCGGACTTGACGGAGTGACCTGAAGGTTTGATTGGGTGATTACTACTGGAACTCCTAGACTAGTAGAACTAGGTGTGCTGAATTTGGGCTCCGTTTTGTTACATATGACGAGTTCTTACTCCGGACTTAATGGAGTGACCTGGAGGTGTAATTCTTTGATTACAACTGGAACTCCTAGGCTAGTAGTACTAAGTGTGCCGAGTTTTGGTTCATTTTGTTGGTTATGGTGAGACCTTACCTCCGGCTTTACATACACACACACACACACACACACATACACACGCGCGCGCGCACACACGCACACGCGCACACACACAAACACACACACACACACACACACACACACACACACTCACACACACACACGCACACGCACGCACGCACGCACGCACACACGCACGCACGCATGACATGTGAAGGTCGCCAACACGCATTGGGGCAGTGCGGCGGACACTTCCTTGCCCTAAAACCCTCTCAGAAATGAGGGGAGGCCTGTGCCCAGCAGTGGGACGTATATAGGCTGTAACTTTACTTTACTTTTAAACAAATGTATGCCAATCCGCAAGCCAAACGTGGCAACTATGACAAATATTTTTGTTTATAGGATAGGGTGACAAGTGAGCATACAGTCCACCTGATAGTAAGTAGTTGCTTTAGCCCATAGATACCTACATGTTCAGCCCTGATCAGTGTCATTGACAGGGTCGAAAAAGCACTGGAGGATAAAGAAATAGCTCTTTGTGGCTTTCTAGATATTGAGGGCGCCTTCGACAGTAGTCCCACATCACTGCTGATTAGGGGCCTGACATCTAAAAATGTTGACGCCACAACCATCAGATGGGTGAAGTTGCCTGCGTACGCACGCACGCACGCACAGCACGCACGCTCGCGCACGCACGCACACACGCACGCACGCACGCACTCACGCACGCACGCACGCATGCACGCGCACTAATATAATCTAAGATGTAATATTTAGACAGTATGTTAATATATATTTTATAAATACTCATTGTTATGCAGCAATAAATTGTTATTATTATTTTTTGGGGATCTATATAATTTTCTCACCTGGTTGGGTTCTATAAATATATAACTATAAATTAAAATGAAAAGATATACATAAATATCAATAAAATAAAATAAATACAAAAACTACATAAATAAATAAGATCCAACCAGATGGGAGCCCTCGGCAGGGGAGACCAAACGGCCCAGGGTTAGGGTGAAAGGGAAAAAACCGGCGGACGATGCGGGCGGTATCGAGGAGCACCGCCTTATGCATTTGAGCCCGGAGCGGTCCGTCACGGAGTCCCAGTCACCTCAGATGACCCGAGAGGCTGACTGGGATTAGCCCATTCGCAGAGACGACTACAGGAATAATTTCGGCCGGCATACCATCCCACATGTCGGTCACCTCGTGAGCCAGGTCCAGATATTTTTTATCTGTTTCGGCTTTCACGAAGTTCTCGTCGTACGGAATAGTAATGTCGACCAAAAATATCCTTGACTGTGCCCGGTCCATCAGCACAATATCAGGCTTATTCGCAAGAATAGTCCTGTTCGCAAGAATAGAAGAAGAAGCACGAAAGTAGAATAAATGCTGTAGAAATGCGGTCTTTAAGGAGTATGCTAGGGTTGAATCTGAATGACAGGGTGAGAAATTGCGTGATAAGAGATAAATGTGGTATGCAAGATGATGTTGTGACCAGGATTAAGAAAGGAATGCTTCGGTGGTTTGGTCATGTAGAAAGAATGAATGAGGAAAGAGTGACAAAGCAAATTTATATGGCAGATGTGAACGGCCGAGTCGGGAAGGGACGCCCTAGAAAAAAGTTTATCGACCAAATTGGCGAAATTTGAAAAGGGGCCACGTTAGAAGTACCCTTAACCGACGAGCATGTATGCGTAGATATATGGATGTAAAGGAGACGAAAGAGGTATGTCAGGATCGTGCCAAATAGAAGTCCATAGTCTCTGCCTACCCCTTTGAGTGACAGGCGTGAGTGTTTATATATTTTATGTATGTAGTCCTGTCTGTGATGATGGCCCGGTCCCAGTAGAGCCTGGCGCGGTCATTTTCGAGCACGGCTTCCGGCAAGTACTTGTAATACGGCAATTTTCGGTCCACGAGACCATATTTCAGAGCGAGCTCCTGGTGTAGAATTCTGGCTACTAGGTTGTGCCTGTGCAAGTACTCAGAGTTAGAAAGCGCCGAATAACCGGAGATTCCGGACGGAGAACCGGTGACTCCCCGGGATGGCGACAAGCTCGACAGACGTCGACAATGCCATCCTTTAGGATGTATCTTTTTTTTTTTTTAAATCTTTATTCATATAAAATACACAGATTTAAAATAATAATAAACATCGCCAAACTGTGCAACAGTTTGTTGGCGATAATGGCGCTCTTTTGTTATATATTAATATGTATTTTTTGTTACATACATACTTATCTTAGGTATATTTATTACAATAAATATCTCTATCTTTAATTAATACTTATTATAGGTAGTACATTATACTTTTCATAGGAATGTATTTTTCAGTCTTTTCTTTAATGTTACTGTGCTTATGTCTTTGGACGTATCTCTTATAAAATCTATTCTATTATATATTAGCGGAGTTAAATATTGCCTAGTTCTCTTACCATAATAGTTTCTTATATGTGGTATCACATATTTACCCTTCTCAACTTGCCTGGTACGATATTTATGCGTTATAGGTTGTTTAAATTTATTTATTTTATATTGTTCTAAAGCAATTAGGTAATCTACCTTTTGATGCACTGGAAGTATTTTACATATATTAAATAATTTGTCATAATTTTTTTTACACTGTAATTTTACTTTTTTACTTACTAAATACTTAAGTAGTCTAATCTGTAAATGTTTTATACGATCTAACTGTGTTTTGAATGTTAGCCCATAACTGCTCAATCCATAATTGATTCTCCGATAGTTGTTGGTCTTAATAACCTGATCCTGTATTGCACAGACAAAACCCTCGGTTTTCCCGAAGAGGTCACCGAAACGTAGCCAGTTGAGGGAGGCGGCTGTATCTACGTGAGGCTCATGTAGAGCCCTGTAGTACCTCCCGTGGAGCTCCTTCTCCTTCCATACGGTCTCCCGGTCGGAAATGCTCTGTGCTACCGGGTCTTGCCATTGCTCGTTGGCTAAGTATAGAGGGGTAAGTCCTTTATCACTAGAAATGACGTCATTATAGAATGGATCATCCGATCTCGCCAGGAAGTAATGACGGAGGCTGCACACTTCGCGGTTATGCATGGTGAGCTCGCTCAGGAAGCCACGCCCACCATGCTTTCGCGACAAGTACAGCCTCATTACCGACGATCTCGGATGATGCATCCTATGGGACGTCATTGTAGTGCGGACTTTTCTATCCAGGGCGTTAAGTTCAGTCTGGGTCCACCTGAGTATGCCAAAGGTATACATGAGGACAGGCATGACCCAAGTTATTGGTGTTCTTATTCACACCGGACAAAAGGCTGTTAAGCACTTTGGTCAAGCGTGCATAAAACACGTCGCAAACTGACTGTTTCATATCAGCCTCATCGATACCGATGTTCTGTGACATACCCAGGTATCGGTATGTTTCAGCCTCGGAAAGGGCCCTTAAGTTGGCGGGCATAGATAAGTCTATGCCCTCAGAGTTAGCAACCCTTCCCCTTTCAACATGGAGGACCGCACACTTATCCGTCCCCAGCTCCATTTAATAGAATTCCTAAATTCACAAGTGATGTTTAGCAAGTCCATAAGATGGGAGCGACTGGAGGCGAATAATTTGAGGTCATCCATATAGAAAAGGTGGGTCACTTTTGTACCTCCTTTCTGAAGCTGAAATCCCCTCCTGGAGCCCTCCAGTAAAGTACTGAGAGGGTTCAAAGAGAGGCAGAACCAGATTGGACTCAGACAGTCGCCCTGGAATATACCCCTTCTTATCCTTATGCGGCTTTCCGCAGCCGTCATCCGCTCGCCTAGATGACAGAGGATCGTACTCCACTGCCCCATACACTGCTCGAGGAAGTCTCGAACTGTACAGTCAATCTTGTACAGCTCGAGGACCCTCTTTAGCCATGTATGGGGCACCGAGTCAAATGCTTTTCTGTAATCTATCCAGGCGGCGGAGAAGTTCCGACGGTTGCGTTTCACTACTTTGCCAATGACCGCGTCAATGTCATTTAGACGCAACAATCAACCATTTATTTAGAGCGCGCGACATCACCTGATTTGAGTCCAGGTGACGAGCGATTCTCGCGCTCAAAATGGATGTTAGTGTCTTGTATGTAGTCGGTAGACACGTGATGGGGCGGTATTTGCTCGGGTCTGTGGCACCCTGATCTTTAGGAACCAAATGAGTGATCCCAGTAGTGAAGAGGCTTGGGAGCGACTTCTGGTTGAGAGCCTCTTGAAACTGTCGGGCGAGCACAGCGTGACACACCATGAACCCCTTCAGCCAGTAGCGATGCAGCCCGTCAAGCCTCGGACTTTTCCAGTTCGGGGCCCTACGGAACGCCTCAGCTACGTCATCCGGCGTTATAATGACGGGATCCATGGGCGTAATACCCACATACTGACTCGCCACAACTTCCGTCCAAGGGCCCTCGTTGTGGTTTATGGGCTCTGACCACGGGCTGCGCCAGAATGCGACCGTGTCGGCCTGATTTGGTGCTGGGCCCGTTCCACTTACTATTGGTCGCTCCAATGATTTATAGAGCCTCTTCTGATTACTCTGGAAGAGACTATTCTGGTTGAACCGTGTCGACCTCTCGGTATATCGCCGAATCCGCTTTCCCCAAGCAGCGATTCTTTGCTTCAGGTTATGCGCTCCGTCAGTTTTTGCATTATATCCGGCTGGGACATACACAACATTTGTCCCAGCAAACGCCATCCTGACGGTGCGCACAATCCTTGGCCTGGTATTGCCTGACCTGAAGCATATCAGTCTGCCGATGAGGGCCCTAGCCTTTGTGATACGTTCTTCAATTCTTATTCTCCAGGCTGGGATAGCACTACTTTGTCCAGTAGCGCTTCCAGCTGTGGAAAGTTTGGCGTCTATAATACGGCAGACTGCCAGTGCGGCGCCAAAAAGAATTGAGTCCGTCTCGCAAAGGTCCCGGCTGGCTTCCAAATAGGTACCCAGCATTGGGATCAGTTCATTTTCTACGTTTTCTCAGTTTGTTTTTAACAAAACTGGATTAATGGTTATTACCACGGGACAAAGTCAAGTGGATACCATGAACTTGTTTGGTTATGGGTAGTTTTCTGTAGAGATAAATTTTCTAACTATTCTACAAGTATTAAGTAAAACTGCTTTTTGCAATTGAATATATGTTAGTTTTGGTAAATCTAAAGTTTTTAATGATTGATGAAGCACTTTTGGTATTACACCAGTTGTAGAGAGGACTATAGGGACTATAATAGCGTTACGCAATTTAATAATTTCATGTTTTAATTCAGTGTACTTTGAAATTTTTTCATTAATTGTTGTCTGCAAATTATGTGAGTTAGGTATAGCAATGTCAATAATAAGAGCACATTTATTCCCTTTATCTATTAATGTTATATCCGGTGTATTAAAGTGTATTGTTTTGTCAGTAAGTATAGCTCTGTCAAAATACATTTTGTGAGTGGTATTTTCAAGGACTATTTCTGGTTTATATTTATAGTATACTTGAGTTGGCTGGTCAGTTAATTAATACTTAAAGGCAAGTTTTTGGTGAATGATACTGGCTACTTGATCATGCCGATACTTATAGTCCGTCTGAATAATCGCTTTACAGGCACCAGTGATGTGTTGAATTGTTTCTGAAGCATTACAACAGCGTCTACATGTGTCGGTATGTAAATTTTTTATTTTAATAATATGCTTTTAATAATTGCGTGTCTCTGTGATTTGGTCCTGAATTGCGCACATAAAACCCTCAGTCTCAGGAAAAAGCTCACCACGTTGAAGCCATGCGTTCGACGCTAATTTGTCTACGGTAGGATGGTTCAAATCATGGCGATGTCTTCCATGTAGAGACCAAATGTCAATTGTTGGGTCCATATGTCAATTTTTGTGTTATTATCTGTAAGTAACTCATTTTTTGCAATATTTTATCATTCATATTAAGCGGCGTCAATTTATGATCATTCTGTACTATGCCATTGTGATGATATTGCTGTTTTATCATAAAAGTAATTTCTGAGTGTAGTTATTTGTCTGTTATGTAAGTTAACTATGTCTATTACCCCTCCTCCTCCTTCATTTCGTGGCAATGTTAGTCTTTGTATGCATGATCTTGGATGGTGTTTACGGTGCCTCGTAAGAGATGTATTTATTTCGCGTTGTAGCTTTTTTAGTTCAGTTTTGGACCAGTGTATTATGCCAAAGGAATAGGTTAGTATGGGAATTGCAAATGTGTTAATAGCTTTAAATATATTTTTAGAATTTAATTGAGATGTTAATACTAAGCGAAGTCTATATCGAAACTGATCTGTTAATGTATTTTTAATTTCTTTGTGATGTATTTGTTTAGACTGACCTAAATACTTATACACTCCATTTTCCTCTAAAGATTTGATTTGCTGTCCTGTTTGCAACTGATAGTTATGTTCATAATACTGTCCAGCTCTTACTGAATTAATGTTGCACTTATCAATACCAAATTCCATTCCAATATCTCGTGAAAATTTTTCCGTTAATATAACTAATTGATCTAATTCATCTTGAGTAGTAGCATATAGCTTTAGATCGTCCATATACAAAAGATGACTAAGTTTTTTTTCTTCTTTGTTAGTATGTAGATGATCTTGTGTTGTATGGTATTGTAAAGAGTACCCTATGTTTTTGGAGTTTAACATGTGTGATAAGGGGTTTATTGCAAGGCAGAACCAGAGAGGACTAAGTGCATCCCCTTGAAAAATACCTCTTCTTATTGCAATAATATCTGTTTCTATCATTCCAGCTAGTGAGTTAATCGCAGCCTGTAAAAATTGTATTATGTTTAGGTGTATTTTGTATATTTCTAAAATTTTTAATAACCAAGTGTGCGGTATTGAGTCATAAACTTTCTTATAATCAATATACATGCTAAATAAATCTTTTCTTTTTGATTGTACCTGCTTTAATACTATTGCATCTATTGTGAGCTGTTCTTTGCAACCCTGACTAAATTTCCTACAACCTTTTTTGTTCTTCTGACAATATGTTATTAGCTTCTATGTGTTCATAAATGGTTTCGGTTAAGCAAGATGTAATTATTTTGTACAATGTTTGTAAACACGTGATAGGTCTATATTTTGCAGGATTGTCAAGATTACTAGACTCTTTTGGTATCATATACGTTATTCCTGAATTAATGTATTGCGGCAAAGTATGCGGGCTTTGTATGAATTTATTAACAAAATTAAACAGAATCGGGTGGATAGTTGTAAACTTTTTATACCAATAGTTATGTATATTATCTGATCCAGGTGTTTTCCAATTATGCAGTTTTTTAATTACTTTATGGAAAGTGTCTATCTTGATGTGTTGAAATTGCATGGCTTTAATCTGTGATGTGTCTATTTGATTTTTGATCTCCGCTTCTGTATGATAATGTTTAGGTTCCTCCCATATTGTAAAACAGTAACTTTGTAATTCTCTCGGTGATGGTACGATATTATTTTCGGAGCTTTTCAAACTGCTGATTTTATATTTAAAAAGATTTTTTATATTACGGTAGAAAAGTTTTTCATTTGAGCAAAATAGAATGTTTTGAGTTTTTCGTAGAGAGCATGCTCTATATCTCTTTATCGTCAGCAAATCGAAGGTGAGTGATGTACTCGCTATTGACGTTAATATTCTTTCCAGTTCAGTAACTTAAAAACATATTCCAATACAGTGGTGAAGAGTTTCGGGAATATTACGTCATCCTGTTTTACACCTCTCTGTACTCGGATTGCAATCGTAGTAACCCTACTGTACAAACACTTCAGCACTTCGATATATCGACAGTCAACTTGGCACCGCTGAAAGTACCACCCAAATTTTGACGGAATCAAAGGCTTTCTCTTTGGCAGATTGTATCTTAGGACTTCTGTTTAAGGTGCTGGATAGCCATTCTAATCTCGCTCAGTTTGACGTCCGGGATATCATCGAAATAGAGTAGTATAAAACTTGCTCTTGCATTGTTACTCACACTAGCGTGTGGCTCCACTTCATTGAAGTTTTCAAGGCACTGAAAACGATTTTGTAACTCTAGCTGAAAGTTTTCAGGGCTTTGGATTAGAACACGAGGGGGACGGAGCGTTGACTTCATTAGACGTGACCTCTCCAACTTCATGTTTAGGTTCAGTGTGCCTCTCACCAATCGGTGATCGCTACCAGTTTTCACTCTTGCGATCATTGAGATATCACTGAACATTTGTCGTCTGGTCGTCATAATGAAGTCAATCTCATTTTTTGTTGAACCGTCGGGGTTCGACCAGGTTCACTTTCTGTGGAAGAAAGAGTTCATCATAAAGATTCCCTGTTTCTCCATAAAGTCGGGCAGCTGCTGGCCCCTTGGGTTTCGTTTCCCCGTGCCAAATTTCCTTACTTTCAGCTCCTCCTTCTTACATACTGCATAAGAATGCACACACCGTATAGTAGGTTTTGGAGGAATCCATGGTTCTAGAAATATCCTCATACATTTTCTCCACCTTCTCATCGGGATATGCCGATGTTGGTGCGTATACCTGTATGACCCACAGCGAGTACCTACTGGTGATTCTGAATATTAGTTACGTAACCCTCATCAACACGCTCACAATCTTTACAACGTTGTTAACGAAAGACTTGTAGACGATAAATCCGACACTTGATTGGAATAGATGGTCGCTCTCACGGTAGGATTATCGTGTCCTCCCCTCTCTTCGGACCTCAGATAATCCTATAATATCCCAGCGTAACTTGTCTCTTCTTCCTGCTTCAGGATCTTCTCGTCAGTTCGCAGGGTGCGTGCGTTATATGTTACCAGGTCAAGTCATCTTAAGTGGCAGCCGAACCTCCACCGGAGTATCCTAACACCCCTACCCTGCCCCGTTACCATAGCCACCATCGTAGCCAGGTATAGCGGGGCCGCCAGGGACTGGTGACCGTTTATTTATGTCGTTTCTCATGGGGTGTATATTACCATTGTTGCCACACTTGGCGAGCGGGTTGGCAACGCAGTTTTTTATTGCTATTTGCTGTTATCAGAAAGACGCTGCTGCCCATCTTCTGCCTCAGTTTCCCTCTGTCGCCTCTTACGACTCCCACGGGAAAATATGAGGTACTGAGTATTCTTACCCGCCACTACACAGGATGATTGATCGGTCGACGATCTTGTGAAGATAAACTGATAGATCCTGACAACGTTGACGATGTTTTAGAAGTTACAAGAGATCCCTCCAAGAGTACGAGAGCAATTTAACGACGTACAGGTAAATAATAAAAATTGCTTAAAGGCATGACAAGAGAACAGTTCTTCAACTATCGTTTACCGCTTTTATCTAAAAAAAATTAAAAAACGTTTTTGAGGGTTCGAAAAAGGTGAAGATTGGACGACTATAAAAAACCGAGAACAAGATAACAACATGATACTATTCAAATATTTGAGGATAGTATCGTGTTAAAAATTTAGTTTATAGGGCAACACGAGTGAAATTGGACTATTTCCAACATACACAATTTCATCAGACATTTTGGCGCCGTCAATTAAAAAGTTGGCTACTCAAACAAAAACAAAAATATAACGCTATAGAAGGCTTACATATATTTGTATATTGTGGGAATTGTCTTTCTTGTCGTACATTCTCCATAGATCAACCGTATAATTGAAAAATATTCAAGATGAGAAAACAGATAAATGAAGAACAATACGTTTCCAGAGCCTTTATTTACACAAGTATAAGTGATGACAATTTGATTTAATTTGTAAACGCCTAAAAGAAAGGAGAGATATATTTGATACCCGTATCAATATTTTCTTTTATATTTATATAATTGTTCCATTGATTTAATTTTCAGTTTTTTTTTTAATATTTTAAGTTTTTTAAATAGTGTTATCACACTTTTGTAGCTAATAATGTATCCCGTCGTATGATTTACTTCATATTTTAAAATCAAGAAAGGAACTTTTTATTTTCAACCATGTCATA